TATAACTCCGGTTGGAGGTTATAACTGCGGTTGATAGTTATAACTCTAGTTATAACTGTTTTAACTTTTTGCCAATTTTGTCAACTATCAACTTTTTGAAAAATAGTTTTAGGTCCCACACTGTAAAGATGACAAATGATATTAATGTTGTCCATCTTACAAGTTCTTTTTTGTACTACATGGACTATATAAATACTTTTTTTTGAAGGTGTAAATTAACAAATTATTATATGAGTTATGTGAGGATGTAAATCGTATACGTCCATTTATTCGAAGAAAAACACACGCTATAGATAGGATGGTGGACCACTCTATCAAGGATAAGTCCAACAGGAGATCAGAAAAAACAAGACGAGGGAAGCTCCCATGATATATAGCATCACATATGTGTTATGCGATCGACAAGATAGGAAAAATCCATGAACGATATGGAAGAGAACGAGAATACATATAGAAGAAGATGCTGAATCACACTATATATGATACATGTATATTGACAAGAGAACGAAAGAAAGAAATGAAGAAAGATGATGATACCACCTAGCAGTTATATAAAAGACACGTTCTATTTCTTATCTCATATTAGTTAAAAGAAAGAAAAGATTCGTTTTGCCTTCATAAAAATGTTTTAATTCAAAGTAAGTCAAAAGACATATGAATATTTTTCATTATTTAATATTACTTATGTAAATCGATGTCAAAATAATTTCTCGATATAAAATATTCTAGAGAACAAACTAGTATAAATTTGAAAAGTAGCTCGAAATAAATCAAAATGAATCGATTAAATACATTACGAACCTTAATGAAAGAACATGAATGTAATGCATATTTAATAAGTGATAGTGATGCTCATTATACATTTTATTCATTATCACGAGAAGATCGTCGTATAAATTGGATAACCGAATGTCAAGCTCAATGTGGATTAGCATTAGTTACTTTGAATGATATTGCTCTTTTTCAAGTTCCATCAAATTATTTTCTCTTAGCAAAAAATGAAATCAATGAAAATAATTGGTTAATTGTTGATGATCTTGTTCAATGGTTATATGAACATGAATTAAAAATCGATAGAATTTGTTATGATCCTCGTTTAACACCATTCTTTGTAGTTCAATCATTTGAGAAATTAAAATCTAAAGGATATAGTCTTTATCCAATGTCAACAACAAATTTAATTGATGCTATAACAATTAATGAAATAACATTTAAAGAACATACGTTAACACCTATTTGGTCACTTGATCAAACTGCTTTTCCTGGAAAAACAAGTGAAGAAAAAATATTTGAATTACGACAAAATTATTTAATTAATGATAACAATCAATACACATTAATAACAACAGCTATGGATGAAATTGCATGGTTACTTAATTTACGTGCTAATGATATGGAATGTAATCCATTTTTCTATAGTTTTATGATTATTTCAACTGATCAACTTATTTTATTTACTGATAATCCATATGAAGTATAATTGTTTTGTTTGTTTTTTTAAAGAAAATTCTTCAAATTGATTCCATTTCTTTTTTTAAGAACCTTCATTATGATATTCGTCCATATAATGATTTCTTTTCATTTTTATCAATATTTCAAAATCAAAATATATGGATAGATGAACGTACATCAATGTCAGTTATTTTAAATCTTTTATATCCACCTAAAAAAATTGTTCGTTCACCAATTCAACAAATGAAAGAAATTAAAAATTCTATTGAATTAAATGGTTTTAAACAATGTCACTATAGAGATTGTGCTGCAGTATGTGAAACATTCGATTGGCTTGAAACATCTATTAAAAATAAATTAAAAATAAATGAATATGATGTTATGAAATATCTTGAAAATTGTCAAAAACAAAAAGATTATTATATTGGTATATCATTTGATACAATATCAGCTAATGGTATCAATACATCATTAGTTGAATATGCTCCATCGATTCATAGTCAATATACTATTAATGAAGATGATATATATTATCTTGATGCTGGTGCCAATTATTATGATGGAACAACAGATATGACGCGAACATTACATTTTGGCAATCCAACAGCTAAACAAATTCAATGTTATACATTATTATTGCGTGCGATTTTATCGATTGAAATGAATTTATTTGAATTAAATGAGAAAATCAATGGTGAAAGAATTTATAAAATGCTTCAAGAATATTTAAAAGATTTAGATAGTTCAATTAAACATATATCATTTGGTCATGGAGTTTCGCATGGACAAGGAGTTATCGAAGGAGGTATAAGTATTTCTGATAAGTATTCATTAGCAAATCAAATAGATATCAAACCTGGAATGGTTATTACACTTGAGCCAGGAATTTATTATGAAGGTGAATGGGGAATTCGTATAGAAAATGTTTATTCTATTGAACAAAATCAATCGAATCAAATATATTTTAATCCATTAACATTAATTCCATATGAAAAAAAACTTATTGATTTTAATTATTTAACCGAACAAGAATTAATTTGGATAAAGAATTATCATCAACGATGTTTAGATAACGTTAATGGAGGAAAGTGGATGAAACATCAAATTGAAAATTTTAATCTATCTGAAGTTTAATTTATTAATTGAGACAATATTTATCTTTACTTTTATTTCGTTTTAATTAGATTTTTGTTTTCGATTCATTTCGAAATAAAAGACGAGTGGATATTTTTTGAATAATTTTCGATACGAATAAGATGGATAGTTGTGAATTTCACCGTTGAAAAGAGGTGATGTGAGGATACATTGAAACTTATATGGGAAGATCTCTCTTACTATAGTTTCGTAACAGTTGTAATCAGACATTTTCAAAATATTATTTTTTTCGCATATGCTGAAAAGAATAGAATAAGTACATCTTTTTCAGCCAGTGAACGTTGTCGCCCTGATGAAATAGAAGATTTATTCATAATTGGGCCAGAGTAGAAGAAATACTTACAAAACGAATATGCACATTGAATAGAAAGTTATTTATTCGAAACATTTTACTCTCATTCAAATTTATTTACTCTATTTATTTACAAAAAATTAAAAAAATATTAAAATTTATAAAAAAATTAAACAATATTTATTTATCATTAAATATTTTCCCTTGAAGTCTACATAATTATAATTTTAAATCAACTCACTTTATCTATAGATCCTCACCATTAGGCCCTCGCCTTCAGGTTTTTATCTTCAGACCCTCATCCTTAAGTCCTCACACATGATAACTACCGAATATTTGCATAACTGTAGATTCAACCTTGATTGGTAATGATATTGAAGGCGATCATATTGCAAATATCAAAGCAGATGAAGCCAACAATAAGAGAATAAAAGAAAAGGAAACTAACTAATTGATACTGCGGAATTGCTTCAGTCTGTGGTTTATAATAGGATGGCATGAACACGAGAATCGAACGAATAATTTTGACTGATAATCCGCATTATTGTATGTTGTTGTCCAACGGTGTAACTGAGTCGTAGATGAATTTGAGTAGGTATGAAAGTGGTATGGCTGTACTTCAGCTTTATACATACGTCGATCGTTGAATAAAACGGAATCTACGAGAAAAATTTGTTTCGTAGACATGAGCACAAAAATCGTTGTGTCACTCATAGATAAGGAGAAAGAAAAATCATTATATTGGTCGTAGACAAGAATAAAAATGACTTTTTATTACTCGCAGACAAGGACAGAGAGAGATTGTGAAGGTGACATTCTTAGAGAATTAAATTCAAAACATCATACGGCGTATTTCGATCAGAGCCTAACCTGATCATCAGTGGATATGTTCCAATTGTGAACTATTTGAATAGCACATTGAATGATAGTATCGTGGAAGTGTGATATCTACGATACTTTTTTATTGCACCAGAGGATAAGAAACAAAACGGCAAATAAACCAGATGAGGATAAATGGACAACTTTTATGAACAAAAATAAATAATGTTAGGGTGTAGGTGAGAGTATTCCCTCGATTTCATACCCACACCCTGTTTCTTTCATAATTGTTTGCATTGATTGATTAATTCGGATCTTTAAAATCTTCGGTTATTGAACAGTATTCTCATAAAAACAAATTATATTGTATCAAATTAAAATGCAAGCATTTTGAACAAACATCGTGATTACAACGATTAGAGCTGTTAATGTTTAGTCATACTATTATAATCTTCATGTCTTTACCTATCATTTAAAAAAAATAGTTGATAAAGTAATTAGCAAAGATATAAGAAAAATTTATACGGAATTTTGAGCAAGTTAACGAGAAAGAACTCACAGAAACATGATGATATATATCATTGATAAAAGCTTTTACGACACATTAATTTACTTGATCATCTATTTTTAAAGAAATGCTTTTCAAAAGATAATAAAAAACGAATAATCAAAATAATAAGACGTTTGTGTGAACAATATTGTAATTTAATTAGTCAATTATTCTTCTATGTTTGTGTTTCGAGAAATGGTTCGGGTGCAGTTCGGCACGAGCGTATTTTAGAAAACACAAATCGATTTTTGCTTGACTCATTTCTATTCTCTGATTGGTGGTGATCTCTTGTCGAAGGATCAGCATCGACAACTGACATTCTTCGTAAAACACTAACAGTACTTGGCAGTGGCGGATTTAGGGGGGGGCGATGGGGGCGATCGCCCCCCCCTTCCGAATTTTTTTTGATTTTTTACAGCAAAAATGAGCGAAAAAATAGGTTCACACTACTTCGGTTGGACTCAAAAAATAGCTTTTAGCCAAAATCGCCCCCCTCCTCCCCAAGTATCGCCCCTCCATACTCAAAATAAAAAAATCCCCCACCCCCTCCCCAGGTATTGCTTCTCAATACTAAAAAAAAAAAAAATCGCCCCCCCCCTTCCAAAATCCTAGATCCGCCACTGGTACTTGGTTTCTTTTTCCAACATCTAGAAATAAGTGGTACTTTGTCTCGTATATCTTTTGGCAATGTAACCATTGCAAATAGAGGCGAAAAGAGACTTGGTATGTAGAATGTATAAACCAATGCTTGTTCATAAATATTTAAGGCAAATATTCGTGAACCATAAACTTGACCTAAAGTAACAATGGAGTAAGGCACGCTACCAATAAGCTGCGACGAACAGATTCCAATCAATTGAAGGATCATTCGACGATTTTTCTTCCATTTAGTTACTGTATTTGCTGGAAGTTTTTTAAAAAAAATAACTTTTATGATTATAATAAGATTGAAAAGTACTGTAATAGCAGCTGGTATAAATGTATTAAAGACAGTATCCCAGGTAACATAAACTCTAATAAGTAAAAAATGTGGTCCACCACACCATTCTTTAGAGAAATCAAATGTAGTATTGCCATAAGGAAAAAAAATAATAAAATATAAATAAAGACAAGGTAAATATAACCAAAAACAAAGTATTGGTAAATAATGACAATACAATTTGTATTTTATTAGAAATACTTTATGGAATATAAATAGATACCGATTGATAGATGTTAACATTGAAAATTGAATTGACATAGTAGACCAAACATAGAACCAATAGTTCCAGTAAATACAAAAATTTTTTGTTTGTATTATAGCTTGATTTTTTATAAGAAATCCAATTGTCATTGGTAATTCAGTTTGAATCATTAGATAATCAGTAATTAAAAGACATAAAAGTGTATGATTATTTAGTTTTCGAAATAATAAAGTTTGATATTGTCGACAGATATGATAAAAATAGAAGTAGAAAAAAAATAGTGAGATAACCGAAAATGGACAGAAGATAATAAGCCAAGACAGTCGACTGTTGAAAGTTTGAAAAATTTCAATATTGCTGTCCGTGTTGTTCATGATAATGATATTTTTGAACTCAGTATATAAAATGATATCTTTAGTCAACAACAAAATATAAGCTATACATAGCTATTTTCTCTTGTTAATATATATTATACTTTCTGCTTTAAGGAATGTAATTAAGAGATGGAAAAATATTAAGTTAAAAATGTGGCAGAAGCAAATTAATGTAAAGAATATAGATATGGTAGGTGTGACGGATAACGTTCTGTTAGCTATGCATTTCTTCCTTTCTTTCTATCTCTCTTTCTGTAGATCACACCAGGATTTATATGTAACGGAAACGATGTCGGTGAGTGTATTGACTATTGAAACAGCATACAAACATGACTATATATAGCTACACAGGAAGAGGGAAAGGAGGAAATGCGCATAGCTAACGGATCGTTATCTGTCACAGCAGGAAAAACAATATCGAAAGTGAAATCGCCGTGTTCAGATACCATTAACGATATTATTTTATTTTAATTAAATAATGTAAATATATAAAATAATATTCTTCATTCTCTATGAAAACTAAATCGTATAAATCAGTATATATATTTTCCGTTTTTCATCGATAGTTTTGTAGTTCTTCCTCTAGTGGTTCCACAATGCTACTAATGAGAGAAATACAATCATTCTAAAGGCGTTATATAACAGTCCCGGAGAAAAAAGTTCGATGCGTCTTCATTGCCTTTTTTCAACGGTAAAAAGGTAGTTAATTTTAATAATAAAAATTGAGTCAAGATATTGATTTGCGTGTGTCATCATTATTTGTTTAACATTAAATTTTCATCGAAAAAAATATAAGCCCAATAAGGTTGTTTTTTCTTATCCATCATCGTAAGCAATGTGCTTATCATTCATTCATGCATGAAGATATATAGAAATGAATACATTTTATCGATATGAATATTTAAACAAAAAATAATTGCTACATTATTTCATAACACAGACAAATTAGACATGATAAATAAACATCGATGAAGTCATTGAATGAATTGATCTTAAAATTTAACAGGTATATTGTAACTTACTTTCAAACTACAAATTCAGTAAAGAAGAAAAAAACGAACTATGTCAATATTAATTTCTGTTATTGAAAAATTTACATTATCTTGTACTGAAGATAATGAAATTGGTGATGATAATGATGAACTTTATAATTTTCTATTTAATTATTATATCTCATTAGATATCCTTAATGATTATATACAAGCTATTCAACAACTTGATAGAACAATATTAAATGATAATTATAAATGGTTATTATTTACTGGTTTTAATTCAATAATCGACCTTAATTATTATAATAATGAACGTCGAGATATATTATGCAAATTTTGGTTATCAAAATATGAATGGATATTAAAAAAATTATTATTATCATCATCAAAAACAAGTTCATTACCATTAAATGGAATAAAATATTTACTTACGAATATAATTCGAATACAAATAACAATAGAAAATATTACAAATCATCTTATGACACAAGATATACGATTTTATAATTTTAATCTAAAAAATGAATATTTATCTATTATAAAAATTATTTTACCTTTATTAATTAATAAGAAAATTTTAAATAATATAGAAAATGATTTAAATATTCAATTTAATTGTGATTTAAATCATTATTCTAATACAAAAGATATAAAATCAATATATATTATTTGGATTATATTAAAAATACTTTTAATGTTTATTACAACTGATGAAGATTGTTTAATTATTATTAAATCTCATCAAATTATAAAAAATAGTTTATTAAAATCAATTCAATTAATTAAAAATAATAATTCAATAAAACTTTCTTATTATGTTATTTTAACTTTTCTAATCAATGATAATGATATTAAAAATAAAATAAATCATCCAAAAGAAATTTGTAATATATTTATTCGAACTATTCTACAAATAAATGATTTCAATAATGATGATTTTACATTTACAAATAATGGAGTACATATTATTCATTTATTAATAGCATTAAAAGGTATTTATTTTAAAATAAAAAAAAGCAATAATTTTTAATATAGTTATTTATCTGAGCAATAAATATGAGAAAAAACGACGTTTTCGGATCAATTTATATGACTTGAAAAAAATTGTTAGCACAATCTTTATGGGATTAAAATATGAAACAAGAAATAGCGTTTGTCATGGTCTATACTAGTCGTAACTGACGCCTATGATGATTCCAGTTCAGCGTCTGCTACGAGTTTTTGACACTAATTAATGTTAATTGATAGTATCTGTAACGTTTGTGGAGGGGGCTACGAGTTTCTACTTTTAACTAGACATGACCCAAACTGAAACTCAAACCGTTTGGGAGTTTGAGTATGGATCTTCTTTTAATTGCCATCAATGTATCCGAAATAGTTTCCTCTACAAATTAAAAAACCCAAACCCAAACCTAAACCTAAACTCAATACCCAAACTCAAACCCAAATTCACCAAACTTCTAACACTCCTATTAGTTCGTGTTTCATAAAATACGGCTATTATTTCTAACTAAAAAAAATCTTTCAAATAGCATATTTACAGCATGATCAAGTGAAAGATGATTTTATTGAAAGTGATGGTTTAAATTTGCTATTAACAATAGCTAATTCAGTATTAGCATCTACAGAAATAGAATCACAAGTTAATAATATGTTTGGCGAAAAATTTAAATCAATAATTAGATTAATACCTACGGAAGAATGTGATTTAAATGTTCTACAAGAAATAAATCATTTGCAAATAAATATGCAGTATAATATGAATATTCTATTCAAAGAAATAGGTTTATTAGCATTGGAATGTCTTTATACTATGTCATTCAATAGAAAAGCAAAAGAAATATTACAGAAAAATGAAAGATTTATGATACAAATTCGCGAATTATCTAATGATGAAAATTTGAAAAAAATCATTGATGGTTTATTATGGAAATTAGAAGACAAATATGAATTTCAAATAGAAACAACTAATCAATATGATTTTATGATTAGTTATCATTGGAATGATAATGTATTAGTTTATAAAATTTTTAAATATTTAATAGAAAAATTTAATTATAAAATATGGTTGGACGATCAATCTATATCTAATTCAATTTGTCAAACTATAGAAAAATCGAAATTTATTCTTATGTGTATGTCTGAAACATATAAAACAAATGAAAATTGTAGAAGTATAATTGAATATGCACAATATAGAAAAAAAATAATTATTCCATTAATTATAAAACAAGTTGAACTTGATAGTTGGTTTGAATCTATATGTAGTGAAAACTTGTATATTGATTTTGTTAAACAAAATTTTGAAGATGCTATTCAATTATTAATCAATAAAATTAATATGAAAACTATTGAACAAAAAGAGTATTTTTATTCATATTTAATTTTTGTTTCAATTATTTTTTCTTTCGTTATTTTTAGAATAAATTCAACTATGATCGATCTTTCTCAACAAGAAATATCTTTATCTATTTTACCAACAACCACAACCGTTAATCTTCATCTTAATGCAATTCAAGATGATTATAAAAGAATTCCAATAAAATTATGGTCTGATAAACATGTTGAACAATTTCTCCATGATAATAAATTAGATTTGATGATTTTATTAACTGAATATATGAATGGTGAAGATCTCAGTCAATTATTTGATAAATGTCAACTACAACAAAAGTATTGGACAATATTTGATCGTTTTAATAATGAATTAAAAAAACGATTTCAACAAACACTTTCAATATCAATTTATGTTAGATTTTTAAATCAAATACAAAAATATATTAATATGTCAAGAGTTTAAATTATAATTAGACATCGTATTTTTTTAACATGAAAGATTATACCGAAAATAAACAGTATGATGCTAGTTAGAAAGTTTCAATATAAAATTGAGGATGTGAGTGTGGATTTCGAGCGATTCAATATTCACAACCACACCCGCAAGATAATATTTTCATGGTGAATAAATTGGAATAATCATTAGCATATACAGAAAGAACTAATTGAAAATTTTCAATTACCATCATCTGCTTTTTTATCTCATCTCTATCAGTATGAACTTAGTGTTCTAATATAACATTATCAAACAATCGAAAAACGTCTTTATGCTTCTTGAGACAAGCTTCAAAAAACAATTTTCTATCCATATTCTTCGTTTCTTCTCTCACAAATTTCTGAATTCATTATGTGATGATCATTGTAGTTGTACAGTCTTTTTGATTTATTTTGTTGCAAAGTTTTTGCCCAAGGTTGCCAAATCCAAATTTTACAAATCAGAAGAGTTTTTTTGTTTTAAACCAGAAGGAAAATACAGCAGTGTCACGCACTTTTTCCAAAAACAGAAAGATAATTACACATCGTTTATCTTACTAATTATTTTGAAGTTGTACGTCGAGAAATACAAATAAAACTGATATAAGTGTCTTAAGAAACCGGAGAAGAATCGAAACAGAACAGAGTAAAGCACCTCCTACATCTTTTTTTGATATTATTGCTATACGTCTGTCATCATATCGTCAAAATTTTATGTTGTTGAAACTTTGACTCCTGATTAATTCTGTAAACTCATTATTTATCGACCTATAGTAGCACTGGAATCAAATAGGGTCTAACAAGATCAACCGGTCCGTAAAGATAGAAATTTTTCAATAGTCTCTTCTTTTTCGATCATGTTTCTAGCGATTAAAAAACCTAATATAGCGTACACATGTCCGGTAGAGTTGATCAAATAAGGCACAAAACTCTTTCCTCTATTAGTTTCTTTTTTTTTTATCATACCTTGTATAAAATTTATTGTCGAGTGAAATATAACTTCTAAGTTTTATTACATTCTAATCGTTTTACCATACTGAAATAAAACGCTCAAGTCATATCTCTACTAGACAATAAATTTTATACAAAGTATGATAGCACAGAAATAAAAATGGGGGATAGATTTTTTGTTCGTAGATGTATCTCATATTTTGATAAAGTGTTTGTCCAAAGAATTAGAGATATATGATGCTACCTAGTTTGTTATCATATATATATATATAGTTGTGACTGCTCTCTTATTTGTCATTCTTTGTACATAAAACGTCGTCAAAACTTACATAAGAAAAGAATTAAAAATCAGGAGGTTTGGTAACCCTATTTTTATCATTTGTTGTCGTTCAGCTGGTATCAATTTGATCGTGATCATTTATTTCATGTGAAATGCTTCTAATTCTTCATTTTTTTTTCTAAATATTTCTAGTTTGTTTTTATTAGAAATGATCGAAGATATTTATACAGAAAAGAAAATATCGATGAATATGAGGCGAGAGAAAGAGAAAACGAAGAATTAGATATCGAATACTTTTTGAAATAGAGGTAAAGAATAGGTCAATGAGCGATGACAATAGAAATAGATATAAGTGTACGAAAGGAAGAATAAGAAGAGAATACAAACGACAAAGAAAATGAAATAGAACAATAAATATAACAATGTGTGCCCATGCGAACTGATCGAACGATATAGAAGTAATACCTCGGTCGTTTTTTCTCTTTTTCTTTTGGTTGCTTCACATTACTTTTATACATATATATTATCTAACACACTTTCACATGCACTGTAAGACAATAGAAGAATTCTGTTCTCACGATCTGAAAAAAAGACTAGGTGATTTATACTACAAATAATAACTGTTAACATGAGTATGATTTCTTCATACTTCTAGTGTGATAAATTTCAATAAAAATTATAGGTTATGCACTATCGCATATAAACTTCAACAGAAAAAAATTAGTTTGTGTAAATAATTGAATAATCTTTTTCATTTTAATTTAGAATAATGTCATCTGCTACAAATGTAGATGAAAAACTTTCGTTATGTGATTTTATTGTTCCTGTCTCTTATACACGTCTACTTCTCATCTATGATTATGTTATTCATGATCTTGAGAAGCCATTATTAAAATTTCTTTATAATTATTGCCCAAGTGCTTTCAAACGAATTTCTGATAATAAATTGATAGATTCAACCGATCATCCAACAATTTATACACATGCAATCGATCGAAATACGTCATTATCTTCATTAGATATCGAACATACTGATATTTTTCCGTATGGAAGAATACCTGACAAAGAATCACCTCTCTTTTTTCTTCATCAATTGACTTTGAAAGATGGAACGATTTTAGCTATTGGTATTCATCATCGTCTTACTGATGGTCATGGATTTATTAATCTAATATATCGATTTTCGGTTTGGATGTCTGGCGAACAAATACCACTCTTATTTGAACATAATCGTTCGTTGATTAAAAAGAAAACAGCACCTACAATTTTATATCAACATCGAGAATATTATTCGGAAGATTCTTTACTTCTACCATCAATTTATTGTCCACATGTAGAAACAGATGTTATCGTTAGACATTACAAGAAACAAGATTTATTTAATATGTTAAATATAACAAGTAAACATGTATCATTCAACGATGTTCTGGTAGCTTGGTTAACAAAGATTATTAGTTCTGTTCGTCATGTACCTAGTAAAACTATCGTCAAAGTGGGCATGCCGACTAATGGAAGAAATATATTGGGACTTGATGAGAATTATTTTGGTAATTGTGTCTTTTATATATATATTCCATTTCTAATGACTGATCTTGAATCATCTTCGGTCGACGAACTATCTGAACGAGTACATGAAGAAAGAAAAAAATGTATGACAAAAGCATACATTGAATCAGCTTTGGCTTATATTAAATGCAATACAACAAAATCTCATAGTAGTATTTATCCAATTTTTAATAGGTTTGGTGAATATGATATTGCCTTTAGTAATTGGTCTCGATTTCCTATGTATCAGATTGATTTTGGTCATGGTCCACCGAAACGTGTATTTCTTCCACCAGGCAAAAGAAGAAATGGAATGATCAACATTCTACCTAGCATTGATGGAGACAATGAAGTTGAACTATATATTAGACTTAATCAGATTCATGTAAAAGAATTATTAAAAATCTTAAAGTAAAGGAGTAACTTTAAAATTGAAATGTATTCTATATAAAATAAAAAATTTCTTTTCAATAAATCAATGTTTGCTTATATATTAGTACAAAAATAAATGATAGTTTGAGTGTGGATGTGAGTGGGTGGGTATGTGTGTCAGTATTGTATTCATCTCACACCCACACCCTGTATAATATTTATCTTTAGTTTAAATAAATTATTGCTAAGTCAATTTTCTTATCGCTAAACTTGGTTATTGCTGATCTGTATTGTTTTATTGGTCATACATATTATTTATTGTCCCGATTAAATTTTAGTCGTAGATGAACAACATATATTGTTTATTTAATAGATAATAAATACGAAGTAACTTGTTTGAAATAGTTGGTTCTATTCGTTACAATTTAAATAAATCATAAGACTTATTCTAAAGTAATAATTCAGTCGAAGATATTTTTTAATAAATTGCTATTGATAAATAATAAACTCAAACCTTCAAACGCAAGAAATAACACATCATGTATAACTTCTCTCTTAAGAAAAAAGAACTAGAAAATGTTTTCATCATTTCAAATATAGACTTTATTTTCCCATTTGTAGTTGTTTTAAATTAATGAAAGGAACAACTAACGTAAGAAGAAAGATGAAGAAATGAATCTTGTTTTTGTTATTGTTCTCTTAATAATCATTTATTTCGCGTCACTGTACAATCATCTTCTAAATTGTTTGTCTACGTTTCTGGTATTATACAGCATTCTAGAGTGTATAGATGGCAAAATAATCGCTAATCATACTAACATGTCCTTCATTACGGACTGATTAAGATTTTTGAAATACAATTTATTGGAAGATTATATAAAACTGTTTATCATTTCCTTTTTGATCAGTTATTTTATATTTGTTTATTTATTCCAAAGATATATTTCTTGTTGATTATATTAAAGCAAGTTAATATTGCTAGGTGAATCGAAGTAGGCAACCTGTCCTTGTTCTAATACAAGAATTCGATCACTGTTGGCTACAGTATTCAATCGGTGTGCAATAGTTAATATAGTATGATCACGAAACTTGTCAGCGATCACTTCTTGAATCATCTTATCTGTTGCATAATCAACATTTGCAGTAGCTTCATCAATCAACAATATGTGACTCTTCTTCAGAATGGCTCGAGCAACACAAATCAATTGTCGTTCACCGGCACTCAAATTTGCACCAGATTCAGCCACTAACATATGAATTCCATCGGGATGGTTGCGCACCAATGATTTGAGTTGAACAGATTCAAGTGCTGTAAGACATTGTTCATCAGTGAATTGTTCAAATGGATCAATATTGTATCGAAGGGATCCACAAAAGAGTATGGGTACTTGTGGAATAACACTTATATGAGAACGAAGATAATCGAGTGACAAACGGCCTATATCAATGTCATCAATAAGAATAGATCCATTGACTGCTGACTGATCGACAAGTCGAAAAAGAGCTTGAAGAAGTGATGATTTTCCAGCACCTAAACGAATAAAAAATGTTATTATTATATAGACTTTGTAACATTTGTATTGTTTAAAATAAATGAACCATACCTGTCCGACCAATAATTCCGATCTTTTCCTTGGATTCAATTCGTAGATTAAGATTTTTGAGCACTGGATCTAGCTCTGGTCGATAACGAAAAGTGTAATCTTTAAATTCTACAATACCACGAGAAGGCCAATCACTGTCTGGTTGTATTGGAGCATTGTTGTCGCCATTGTTGTGATGGCTTTCTGACACTAATTGACCATATTCATGAATACGTTCTGCACTAGTCATAAAATTTTCAGCTTCGGCTGATTGTCTTATAGCCCATTGAAAGAGACCTGTTAGGGTAATGCAATAGCTTAGACTGAGTGCTAATGTCGATGGTTCCATTTGATGGCGCAATGCTACGGCAAGAATACCAGTAGCCAAAGTGAGTGATGATGCTGTAAGATCAAGTCTTAAACCAAACCAATGCGTAGTAGCAGTAAGAATGAAGGCAGCTCGTGTATTTGCATCGATTCTTTCTATGAACATATTCAAAAAACTACCTTGAACATCAAACGCACGAATACTAGTGAGTCCATCTAATGAAGTTGAGAACAATGTATAAACAGGACTACGCGTTACACTTTCCAGTCGCTTGAGTTGTCGACTAGAACGCATATAAAATCGACGAAGCCATAAAACTGTAGGAGCCAACGGAATGAGAATTAAAAGTACCCATGGATTAGCTATTCCAATGACTACGATAGAACCAAGGGCTAATAGTAGATATTGCATAGTATCAATTAGAGCGAGTGGTAATGATTCATCTACTACTTGTTGATCTTTACTTGCTCGATTTAAGATTCGTCCACTTGGATTATTTTCAAAGAAACGTAATGATGTATACAAGATACCATTGAGCATTCGATTGTGAAAATGGGTTGAACCGCATAACATAATATAAATGATAAAGCCAACACGTATCAACGCAACAAACAATGTAGCCAATATAGTTCCAAGATAGACATAAGCATAAAATGATAACCGCTGTTCACTTTCATCTTTATTGGACCATAGTGCAAGCCAACTATTTGTAAAATCATACAACGCCTCATTACCTAACATTAAAATAATCATAAACAAAAAGCCAAACCAACGTAACGGGGGTGCAGTAAATAGTTCTAGCCAAACTTTCCACTTGATGCCGCCGTCAGCTGATTGTTCACTTTTCACAATGGAATTTATATCAGTTATAGATGTACCAAGTTTCCAATCTGTTTCCTTGTTATTAGCTGGATCTGTTTCTAATGTTTCATTCAATGGCTGAATTGTAATTTGTTGTTCACTGTTTAATTCTTCAATGTGTCCATTTTCTACGAGAAACGTTTGATCCATTTCGATTAAAAAGTGTGTCTGATGCGTAACTAATATTCGAGTTTTTCCACGAAGAAAACTAGATGTACCAATGCATTGATCGAAAATATTTTTTGCTACCTTAGGATCAACAGCAGCAAGTGGATCATCGAGTAAATATAGGTCAGCATCAGCATAAAGTGCACGAGCAAGCGATATTCGAGCTTTTTGTCCTCCACTTAAATTAACACCTTTATCACCGATCATCAATAAATCACCAGCTTCACCAAAATTTTGTAGATCGATATCAAGACAACATGCTTTTATTACATTTTTGTAACGTTCTTCATCGAGTGGTTTACCAAGTAGAATATTAGCTCGCACTGTGTCAGCAAATATCCATGCCGATTGTGGAGCATATGAAATCGATGTAGCATTTATTTGTGATTTTCCACTGACAAGATTGATCTCACCGAGAATAGCAGCTAGTAGAGTTGATTTGCCAGCACCGATGGCACCTTTTACTCCAACTAAGTTACCGTGTCTAATTGTCAGATTGAGAGAAGATAACGAAGAAGCATCTTTCCAAGAAAATGATGCATTTTCCATCATAATTGCATAAGAATCATTTTCATTTCTCGTTTTTTCACTTCTATTTAACAATACGTCCAGTTGCATAAATTCATCAATTCTTCTTGCAGAAATACGAGCTTCACTAAATTTTTCGATAAAATTTGGCATCGTAATTGTCAACGGAAGTCGAGCCATGGTGAAGAATGATAGTGTTGAGAAAATATTTTCTGCAAGCAAAGTATGACCCATTAACCAACTACCACCGAATGTCGCAAGAGCAATCAAAGGTATCGTTACGAACGAAATAGCAATATTGAGAGCTCTAACGCTACTCGCTTTTCGAACGTTTGAAAGTTCCTCTTGACGTGTCTCAAGTACGCGTTGCTCAACGGCCTTTTCCCAATTGTACATTTTTATAATTTGACATCCGTTGACAATTTCATTAATTGTTTGCACCCGTTTGTCTGTACATACCATTGTGGCCTTTCTGTATCGACTGAATTGTCTGCTGAAAATGAACTGTATTGGTATTAATAAAAACAGTACTGAATAGCCGAATAATGTTGGTAAACCGATCGTCCACCAAATAAGGCCAAACATTGCAAGAGCTTCAAAAGGTACCATTAATAAAGCATGTACGTAAATGCTTAATTCTGCAAATTTATTAGCATCATTTGATACTAAATTAATCGTCTGAGCTGCAGTAGTCTTGTGAAGAGCTGCGGTATTGATGGTTAACAAGTGCTTATAGATAGCAGATGATAATGCATTACGAGCTCGCACGCCTATGCGTGTATTTCTAAACATAATCTGTTGTTGAGTGGTTGCTTGTATAATTGCAGCAATGAAAAGAGCAATAGCATATAGATAACCCGTATAAGTGGGTAATCCTGAGTGATCTTCAATATAGAGAACAATTTGACGAAGAAGCAATGGCTGTGAAATACGAGCTATACTAAATGGAAAAACAATCAGCATACTCGTTAAAAAGTCTTTATAAAATATTTTAATGAATACATTCCATGTGCCTGGCCATTTAGAACTATGCTGATTTACTCTGTTTAATAATACCGAACATTTTTCTTTGGCGGAAAGATCATTAAGATCGTCTTCAACAAGCGTACGTTTATTAGCCAGGGAAAGAATAGGTGATACCCACAAAAATAGTGGTATCTGTATCCATCTTGTCCACGATGATTCGGCCCAATGTAATCGACATGATTGCCGCTGTTGATCTAGAAAATAGTATAATTAATCAGAATCTGATTCTTCTGATAATGCTCACTTTCCGTTGATGGAGATACTTTAGATGCAGAAAAAGATATGAATTCAACGTTTGACTGTTTCTTCATCATCTACTGACGGTCGACTTTTTTGTGAGTGAATGTAGGCAACCATTTATAATCTCTAGTTTTTATTTTGTCGTTTCTTATCTCATTTTCAACAGAACCTTACGAATTAAGTGGCTTTCTTTAGTTTGATAGGTAACCTATAAAACTTTATAACTAGAAAAAAAAACGAGATTCATTTAATCATATATAAAATATCTTCAAGAATTGGTGAAAGCAATAAAGCAGCATAATCGTACTCTTTAATAGTGTTGTCGATTCGCCTTCACGTTTAATTTAAAATACTGAAAAGATTTCAATACAACAGCACGAAAGATTACATTTCAAAAACTGCTATTAACATAATTATCAATCCTGAATAGATGAGTCTTCAGATTATTCGCACTATGATTGTCAACGGAGAGAATTAATGAAAATCGAGTACTTCACAAAATAATCCTTCGAAATTTATCTGAGATGGAGATCTCCGACCTACGGTTCATTGTCCTCGCAACCTTAATAAAAACCACATTATTGCCCCCCTTCTACAAATCATCTACTGATTCTCGGACCATTTCTGTGCTAGCAAAAATCGAAAAAAAGTTTTTGAGACACGGTCCGATTTCACCCACACCCACATTCTATAAAGAGAGATTATTAGCTAATTAATGTTGATGTTAAAAGTAGAAAACAATAATAATATATTCTTTATAACATGTTTTATAACAGTAAAAAGAAAAATTTGATAACATGTATAACCAAAAAACATAACAAAGTAGTAAAAAATTTACTTTTTTCTCTTTTTGATCTTGAATATTTTTTTTCCGATTGAATAGCTAATTCGATTGATGATGGGTGTGGGGGTGGGTGTGGGTGTGGATCTAGGTGTCAACAGAAAGTGTAATTACAAG